CCCCAAAACCCCAAAACCCCAAAACCCCAAAACCCCTGAGGGAAGAAGAAAATTGAACGTAAAATAATTTAATTAGGTTAAAATATCGGTGATATTTAAAGCTCAGTTGAGGGTCTATCACTGAGCTCGATATTAAGTTCATCTGTGACATTAGCTTTAGGATTCATAGTCTCAGATGCTTTTATCTTAGAGCCATAGATAGAAAGAGCAATTCCACAGCTCAGTATAGTTACCCCAATGAATGTTTGAGATCCTGGGATTTCGTCTTGGCCTAGCAAAATAGCTGCTATCTCAGCAAAGTAAGGTTCCATTAAAAAGAACACGGCTACTATGTCCAATGTCCAATATTTGTAACACTCCAATAATGAGTAGTTTGAAGTGATGCTAGTCCATGGACAGACAAATAGCAGCATTAATCCTGCGTACCATGGGTTAGACAGCCATCCGAATATGCCGAAGTGGGGGTCTAAGCTGAAGAATAGAGGGTTGTCTTCTAGGTGAGGGAAGATAAGTACTTGGATGGTAAAATGTCCAAGGAAAAGATAGAACATTCATACGGTTTGATCTGAGTCTCTCTTAAGCTTTGTTGACACTATTCCGAATAAAGCTCCTCCTAAAGCTCCACTGATGGCTAAGAAGTTCCCCAACATCTTGTTGGTTCCTTCTCCAGTCTTAGTCGCCAAAGGATCACTAAGCATAATCAACACTCCAACTCCGTAAACCAGATAACCTCCTATTTCATATTTGTGCACGTATTGGCAAGTGAGAAGAGCGATCAGAAGAATAAAGACACCGTTACTGCAGTAGAGGACGTCAGCATGTGCGGTGAGAGTGTATTTGCACCCAAGGACTAGGCCAAGTATCCATATGAATAGGAAGAAAGACATTAAGGATGTGCTGAACAGATTCTGAGGTGATGAGTCCTTTTTGATTTTCTCCCTAAAATAAATGTTAACATCCGCCCAACATCCTTGATGCTTACCATGTAGTGAGTCCGAGGCTTTCACAAGCATCATAGTTATCACTTGGCTCCCTTCTGCTATACCTGATGTAGCCAGTGATGGACCACAGAGCCATGATGAGGCAAGAGCACTGAGATCTCCATGAGATAGAGACATAAGTACTTTTAGCAGGAATCATCAGAACAATCGGACCGGTAGTAGAAGTACTCAGGATTCAGGCCAGAAGCCAGAACGCTCCAATCAAGAAATTCTTCTTTGAAGTGTATGCTAGTCTGAGTCCTTCTGGACAAGCTTCTGCATCCGCAATAGGTCTGACCAAGGAGATATGCCCAGAGAGATCTAGCGCACCCTGGCTTTCAAAAACACTGCCTTCTGGATGAAATGAGTCTATAGATAAATACACTAACAATACCTTGCAAATGGGAAGAATAATTAGAGATCATAATTTATTATTATTCGCCCACTTTCTTTCAATTTTAAATTTCCGAGCAGGGGTTTTGGGGTTTTGGGGTTTTGGGGTTTTGGGG